GGCACTGGCGGCAGCCCGTAAATAGTTATTATAGCTATTGTAGCTATTATAGTCATTATAGCTATTGTAGCTATTACTGATCAGTTGTCCAACAAACAGCGCATCCTCGCCCAGCGGCGTTTACAGACGCTTACAGTTCAGGCAACATGCAAGCGCCTCCTCGTCGAACTGGTCCTGTCAAGCTCAAGAGACATCGTAGACAGCAAGGAAGGGCAGCTGCACAGACGACCTTTTCTGACAAGAGCCCCATCAGCAAGGGATAACAAACTACTTCTGGGTTCTCATGCTCGCAGCGTCCTCATCCTCATCACTGGTCTCTTCACCCTGCAACAAAGCTGTGTGCACAAATGGCTGCTCCATGCAGCTGCATAAAGCTCGTAGGACAGCGGAAGTATGTACCAAGCATGAGACAGCAAGGGTCAAGAAACAGAAACACCAGCAAACCCGAGCGTCAGAATCCCTGTTCACCCTGCCATGCCACCTCTTCAGCAGCTTCTGTTGCTAGGATGAGGTCCTGCGCGATCCATGTTGTATCATGGCGCTTAGATGGCTGATTGTCTTGCCATAAGCTTCCACAGTCAGCCGCATATCTCCATTCCATTGCCTATTGAGCTGCAGGCCAATCTAGCAACCTCTTGGTGTGCTGCAGGCCTTGCGCGTGATGATGCCCACCAAACTTCCGTCTCGACCGAGCACCTTGCAAACAGCGACCAGACAGCGTATGCTCGGACCTCACGCGCTTGACATGACCTTCCAAGCCCAGCCGGGCTACTGCAAGATGTCTCATCCCGAGCTGCCGGAAAAGCCTGTAGCAGTTCCAAACCGAAGTATACCTGCAGCAGACCAGCAGCTCAGGCGCGTTGAGCATGGCAGGTACATGTACACGCCAGTCTTTGGGAATGCAGGGACACTGCGAAACTATGCATGCAGCCGAGATTCTTCAAAACGAAAAGACTGTTTCGGTTCACATACGGCCTCAGCCACGTTGCAGCCGAAACGCTTCCAAGTAACAAGAGGATCAAAGCACATCGAGCCAAGGTGCCGAAGGTCCACCAATTTGTCGCTGTGATCTGCGACCAGCTCCCGCACCTCTGCAGGTGTCTGACACCTGGCAAGCTGCAAACGTGAAGCGGCTTTTGCACCCTAAGGCAGTCCCCACAAACTTGGCTGGCATGTGCACATCAGCATCATCATACGTTCGTTTACCACTGTCTACTCCACCATGCACTATCTCGCCTGAAGGGCATCGAGGGCAGCATCCTCAGCAACTCTGGTCAATTAGGGCTATCCTGACAGCGCTCTCGCTCCCTTGAACCGGACTGACCAAGAACCGACGATGGCCGGACGTCAAACATCAAGTTTTGCTCCTGACGGAGCCATGACTGAGCAGCTCTACAACTTCTGGAGGTCGCCTCTGCCAAGAACGGAGCCACCAAGTTGCCACCAAGAATCTTCTGCCAAGAGATGTGCTTGGTCGGTGCCGCCTCGCCATGGGCCACGAAGAGACCCGCCTCCTCTCCGTGTTCCAGGATCCTGCTTAACTTGGGATTTGAACTTCAGTGGTTCAGCGGCTCACTTACAATACAAGGCACGCATGTGCTCTACGTATACATGTTTGCAAGTTCCTGTGTGTATGAATATGAGTGCACAGTGCACATACGCGGAGAGCTGTAGTATGAACTTGCACTGTAACAGCAGAGATGTTGCCCTCTTCTTCTTCTGAAGTCTGCTCGCATATGCTCGTGCGATCTACAATCTACATTTATGTATTCAACGGGAATCAAACAGGGCATTCAGGTGATCTAGAGCCGAGAGCCGCAGGACTTATGCGGTTTCAGATTTAAAACGTCTCCGGCATTTCGGGGTTTAGGGCACTTCACCCTCGGCCCTAAACCCTAATCAGTTTCAGTACGGTGGGTGTGTTGCTCGAAGTTTGGCCTCTACAGAGGCCTACAACATCCGATTGTGTGCAGGGGAGCTTTCCTGGCCTCTGGCAGGTAGAGGATTCGGATCAGGAGTTGGGACGGAAGCCTAAAAAGACAGTTGCAATCGGATGCGTACGGGCATGGAAGAAACGGTTTCGGGTTGATAGAAATCGAACGATTCGTTCTAGGGGCCAAGCATTTTCTAGTTGTGACCTGTGTCTTGGATGAATTAAAGCATAAAGTTTACAGGTGCCTGAGCCTCCGCCAGTCCGGGGTGGGTCTTGCAGGAAGCCCTGTTGCTCCAGACTTTCGGAAGTAGTGATGCCCCATTGAACAGCAGGACCAGGAAGAATTAATCGAGTCTAAGCCTGGGCCGCAATGAAGGGCGAGAAATGAACACATCGAGGTGTGGTGACTGAAGTGCTGAGACTTTCGCACGTGCGACGGTTTCGCAGGTGAGCCTGAACCTGCTCTTGCGGCCCGAAAGTTTGTCGTTGATTGCGAGTTCACCCTCCATGATGGCACGTCGTTGCTGGGGCCGGATTGCCAGATTTCGGCGGCAAAGGCAATTGCATTCTCTGCTGCCATACTGTGGCAGGCCGACCTGCTCCTGCTTCAGTTGCGACAACAGTCTCAAAACTTGCATGGCTTCAGTGCGGAGTTCCCAGAATAGATGTGCATAGTGTCATAGTAGAACAATGCGCTGTGTGTATCCTGAGGCTTCCTCCTTGTGTGCGTAACGAACAAAGGAGGATTGCAGGATGCCCTTCGAACTTCTCTACACAGCAATGCTTCGTGGGAGCAGCTACTTTGCCAAACTGAGCGGCAGCATGCCTTACTTTCGTTAACTTTTGATTCCATACTATGGCATAATTGCACTCGGAATCCGCGAACCAAGCAAGCCCGCCTTCGCAGGACTGACTGGGACAGCATACCCGCCACACGCTTCGTGTCGGGGTACAGCACCTTAGAAGGAATAAATAGTGGCCACTGGCCACGATGCATGTTTTTCTGTGATTCAGACTCTTCAGACAGAAGAGCACCAGCAAGAGCAGCGGATAAGTGTGGAAAGAGTACATCTGCAACAGGAGTTGGACGGCTTTAGATTAGGGCGTCTGACGACAAGCAGTGAACATGTTCTCGAGGTGCAACACCAAAGCGCCGGAAAGCTGTGGTGATTCTCGCCAGCTAGCACCTGCAACAGCAGAGCAACTCCAAAACTGCTCCATGTCGGCAACGACTTGCCCAAACAAGAATGACACCTATGCTACTGGTATCGGGTGGAGCTCCCTGCAAGCAAAGAGAAGGAACAAGGCGTCATGGTCACAGTGATAATCCATAATGCTGATTGCGACTACTCCAGCTTCTGGTATGAAATGCAGGTTCGGCTCTGACTCAGGAACCACGAGTCATTAAAGGTTATGCGCTTGCAAGAATTATCGCTGTTGCATCAGATCCTCATGATACTGTTCCGCCTTTCCAGTTGCCGGTACTTTTGTCTGCTAGCCTCGACCAGGTTGGAGACAGATTCAACGAGCTCCAGGGTGACCACATTCCGCTGCATGACATCACGGGCCTGCGAATTCGGGGTGAAAGGGGTCGAAGGCCTTTGGAGCCCAAGGTCTACAACCTTTATGGTGGCAAGCCTGTGGTGTCTGTTCACTGCAGATGCGCAGACCAGCTAGACAAAATTCCAGCTGCCCTCAGCGGGTGTCGTTTCCATACAGAGAACTGAAGAAGATGATTGCCAAGACGACCGTAGCAGCAGGGCTCATCCCTGACGAACTCCTCTGGTTCGATTAGATCAAGAATCCACCGACGGCATTCTTCGTGTTATGCTCTGGGCCGAATGTTCGCCCTCACCGAGACCATGAGAACTTCCATGAGAACGCAGACTAGGAACAGAAGCTGCCCATACTTCCTTCCTGTACTTTCACTTGATCAAAAGGTCTCTCCGAAGAGCCGAAAGCAGCAACCGCAAGACCCCGAAGCGCTTGGAGCCTCTTGTCTCTAGGACCACTACTGCATCGATACCGCTCTGTTCACTATCACATTGGGGATGCTTGTGAGCACTCTTCTGGGTAAGTATGCGCGATATACATGCCTATAGTGTCGAGCAACTACGGCTTCTACATGGCAGACAAAGAAGAAGCTTAGGGCTTCTTAGGGGCATGTTGTCGAAGCCCAAGCCGAGGATGCCTGCAAGGGAATCATTTCCTTCTCCGGGTTCTGCTCCAGAAACGGAATGTGCTTGAGCTCGATGATATGCAAGTCGTAGATGCCCCTGGCCGACTAAGCGGCGGGTTAAGGATTTTCCGCCGTAAGGTTTAGGGCTTTGCATGAGGCTCAACTTAAGGATCCATGCTCGTCAGCATCCTCATTATCGTCAGACCTGCACTCATGCTGCACGCGGCTTTTTGAAGAGAAACGTATGCACTTCGCCTGTTGAAGCGGTCGCCAACCCACTTCGCAACCTCACTGGGAAACAGCACCAGGAAGCAACCCTCTTAGTGGTAGCAGTCGCTTCGAGCGGACATGTTCATCACTGGCCGGGCATGGATACGAGTAGTTCTGGATGTGGTCGCCGTGAGGCTACATGCGCTGGCAACTTCGGGCACACAACGTGAGGGAAGACGGACCTAAAGCAGTAGTAGTAGTAGTAGTAGTAGTAGTAGTAGTAGTAGTAGTAGTAGTAGTAGTAGTAGGCGCACCCCCCCCCTACCAACCACCTCTGCTGCCAAGCCTCTTAAG